GGAGCAGGGCTTGAGCAAACCATTCCTGTGAGGAAAGACAAATTATATTTGTGCTGTCAAGCGTGCCAGCTATTCCAGCCCTGACAAGTGGGGTGACAAAGAAAATCTGTTATCAGTGGAAGTTGATGGCAGGGGATTTTTGAGGAAAAGAGAAAAACGCAAACACAGCCCACTCTGGTGTAAAAATTCTTTGTGTTTCCTTTTTTTCTCTTTTCCATATTTGACCTCACTCTTTACCACATAACGTACATGCTTTTACATTGCTTATTTGCTGTGCAGAAGGTTTTTAACTTAAAAGTATGCAATTTCAAATAATTTTGGACCATTATTATACTATAAATTATTGTTTTATCATTGCGCATTAGTAAACAACCAGTTATTCTGATGGAATGACTGATTTGCTCTTATCTGTGATATGATGCTGCTTTCTACTTGTAGGGATAGTATACTTTCTAGTCAACTATTTTATTTCCAGTTCAATGGGATTCACACCATTTAACCAGTGCGCACAATGACTAGTTAAAGCCAACTTTTGGCTGGCTAGTTGACAAAAGTTCACTCATCCAGAGGGCTCGGCTGCTTCACTGTGGTGAAATATGCTAGCTCAATAATATGCTCCTGTGGAACCTGAAGATATTGGAGATAAACAACAGATGCTCTCCACATTGTTTTTACACTCATACGACTTAGGCGCTGCACCTAACCTGTAAAATGGCGGGAAAACACTCAGTTAAACATGACACATGTCAGATAAACACAACTGAGGCATGTAGCTCATGGTGAGCAAAAGGTACGTGAGGTGACATGCTGCTAAAAGTGGTTTTCACATCTTCCATCCAGTCGGGTTCACATGTTTGTGTTTCTAGTTTGCACTTCATTGACAGTGTGTAACAGAAAGCTTTTAAGGTGTCTGTGTGGTTTCTGCGTTCACGCCTGTGGTGCTGCGCTGTTGCTTTTCAGCTGAGGTACTGGAGTAGAAGTGAAAGGGAAGACACGGCCAGTGTGCAAAGGACTATCGGAAATCAAACATCTACTGTAATCCATGGGGTGAAAGGCAGCACCACATATTACATCTCAGTGAGGGCATACAACACTGCTGGAACGGGGCCTCCCAGCACCACTGTCAACGTTACCACCAAAAAACCACGTAAGTAGCACGTCTAATTATAACTACTGGTCATTTCTTTGCAACAGTTCACTTTTTGTTTGAGGTGAAAAATGTATTTTTCTCCTCTCAGCACCCAGCCAGCCACCGGTTAAAGTGATGTGGAACACATCAGACTCCAAGATTATATTGAACTGGGAGCACGTCAAAGCCCTGGAGAACGAATCAGAGGTCACTGGTTACAAAGTAAGCACCCAGTCGCCTGGTTTTACAGAAAATTGTATTTGTTGTCATGGCTGCGGTGCCTGACTCTTGACTTGACTTTCGCCATTCGTCCGTAGGTGCTGTACAAAAAGAATCGACACAGCCGCCCCAACGTCATGGAAACCAACACCACCTCTGTGGAGCTTGCCCTCCCCACTGATGAGGATTATATCATCCAGATAAAGCCATTTGGAGAGGGAGGAGAAGGTAGCAGTAGCAGGCAGATCACCATCCCAAGGATACCAGGTGAGTGGAGAGCTGCTTAGTACCTCCCTTGTGGCTGAGCTGAATAAACTCTCCCTCCCCTGCTGCTGTCTTGCCAGAACAGGTTTGCTACAATCATCTCCAAAAGAGCAGAGAGAGTGGGTTGAAAATGTGCTACATGAAGGCTTTGTGTTATTATGGCCTCTACATGACACTAGTTGAGCAATTTATTTAGAATAATTTTCAATGGAATGAGGCCGCTGCTCAAGTAATCATAAGTTTGAAGCATTTGTGGAAATGAATGTTTTCAGTTTGTAATTACCAAAGCAGGCTGGAGAGAAAGAAATGAAATGTCAAAATGCCTCTGTGTGTTATTTTTCCACAGCGACCACAGACTAACAGCCTTGTTCTTTTCAATACCTTTTCAGGCCCCAACGCAGTCGGCTCCGCATCCAAGGTCTCCACTCTGTCAGCCCTCAGTACAATAGCACTGTCTTTCACAGCGCGGACATCTTTATGACAAACAGCTCCCAGTAGACGTCGCATCTATGGTGGAACGCAAACACAGCCCACTCTGGTGTAACTAGATCCATTCATTTAGATTTTAGAGGCAGAAAGAAGATGCTGACGAAGAAATAAAAAATAAATACGCCATTGAGATGACAAAGAAGGAGTACGCTTCAGCACCCAGGCTACGTAAAGGAGATTGACCGATGTCGTGACTATGTTGTTACCAAAGCAGCTTTCATAAGAAAAAAATAGAGAATAATGTCTTATATGCATCTTTTTGTATGACATATTGAGCTTTTATAGATTTTTATTTCTTAATCACTTTGAAGTTGGTCTGAGCTTAATGGGGCGAGAACAATTGAGTGCATGGCAAATAACATCATTAAATGTTGACAACGCACCTTTTGTCTTCTAAAATGCGATAATGCTTTGGTTCTAACAAGCCAGAGTAGTCTTGGAGTGAATTAACTACTACTATTATAACCTGTTACAGCTCTGCATTTCTGCTTCTGTAATATTTCAAAAATATTTCACAAAGGACTGCATAGACATGTTGGGTGTTTGTCATTATTGGTCATCTTACCAAGAACTGGATAGGTGAAGAGAGGATTAAAATTAGCACATGCAAATGCTTTACCATACTGGTGAAGTGTTAGCATTAGCTGACTCAAAATGGATTTCACAAATGAGGAGGACTAAGATAATTCTTTTTGTATATGTCATATATATTATTTGTATATGAATCTGCAGTACGTGTAGAATAAAGACCAATATTAAAAAAAACTTCATTAACTCCTCCAACATCAGATAATGCTGACTGGCAGTAATTACATAAAGGATAGGTTGGGATTTCTGTCTGCACTACTCACATTTGTACATCGAGTTATGAGTTGTCTTGAATTATTCTTCCTGTGACCCTTTGCAGCACGACTAAACTGCGAGAGATGGGGGATAAATTCGCAGTCCTTGTTCTGTGCAAAAGAGCCTGCTAAAGTTCAGTTGGAACTTACATCTGAGTTAGCTAAACCAAGTAGCTATCTCCCAAAGTTCTGCTGTTTTTCACATAAAAATCCCCTCTTTGTGTCTCTCCAAATGCTCCTCAGGAGAAATGCCAAGGACTGTGGATTACATTATAATTGCATCTCTTCGGGGCCAGTATCGACAGATGGAATTAATACAGCAACCAATAACTCAGCATACGTATGCCATGAAACAAAAAGAAAAAAAAAAGAAAAATCCAAACCTTAATATGCAGGATGCCTTAGCATGCCATGGTTTTGTTGCCAGTCCTCTCGGGGAAGGTGACCAAGAACTCCCAAAACGTCAATGGAGCCCTTAAAGCCATTCATGTGATAGTTATTGAGTTTATTACCAGAAATAGCAGCATGCTGTTTTGGACAGCGTCTCCCCTGGGTTCCTCTAGACCCTTGTGGCTGTCTCATGCTCCTTATTCTTTTTGGTTAGCCCTGTGTCTAGAGCCTTCTGTGTGCCTCATCATATGTTCAAAATCCTCAGGTCCTTAAAGAGCCTTAACTTATCATATGTATATTAAAAAAAAACATTAGAAACATAGAACTATGAAGCAGCCTTGGTGATGTTTACATGCTGCTGTGTTTGATAGTTACTCTATGTGGTTGGGACTGGGGGGGGGGCAGCATCCTTTGTGGAATGCTGAGGTTACTAATGTTAGTTTGAATGGCATTCTGCTGTTTCGCATGGGATGTTGGCAATATATGAGGCCTGGTGCATTTTTTATAGGTGTGTGTTCTTAAAAGACGATGCTGCTGATCTTTTCCGTTTCCCATAGTCTCCTGATGCCATGTGGGAGTGCTGTGCTACAGAGGTACAGTGCAGTCTGTATGTAGCTTGTAATCTAGTTAAGTAGTTTGTACTTTGAAGGGAGGTGTGCTGTAGGCTGCTGGGTCTTGCTCATGCATCAAGAAATGTGTAATATACCGTTTTGTACACTTCAAATCATTTATATAAAAGAACCTTTCTAAAGAGATGATTTACTTGGTTTTTATGTAAGAACTCTGTTTTCATACTGTAGCTAACTTGCTCAGCATGATTGTACTTTGTCCTCTCTCTTCTGTCCATCTGCAAACCAACTGAATGGCTTTAGGAACATGTAAGTTTCATGCATTTTATAGGTTTGTGTATACTTTAGGTGTACCATGGAATCTGAACCATGATCAGTCCCTGTGTCTATGCTTCTGTCTCAGTCAGGGGTTTACTGTCCCTATACGCTCTACATAAGGGTTTCCTCTGTTGCTGTTTGTTGTTTATACTGTGTTAATAAAGATTATTGATTTATAGAACAATGTCAAGCTCTGTTGGTCCATCCGTCAATATACATGACTTGTGGGAGAACTGAATCTTCTTTCTCTGGCCTTATAGAATAGACTGACACAAAATATCTGAATTTAATAGTTATTAGGACAGGAGACCTCACATCATCACTGATTATTTTCTCAGACTTGACACAGCTCCTCCAGAGCCACAGAAGACACTATACAAATGTTTCCATAGGCTTTGTGGTACTGAATGCTCTATATACTTTAGAACATTAGAACATTCATTTTAAATCTATAGCATATTGCATAGGTGTGTGTGAAGTCTTTTCATGCAGCAAAGTTTGTTGGTTGCTGAAAATTCACTAGATGGCGCTATGAGCACACAAAAGACTTGAGGGCTGCACCAATGTTGTATTTGCTGAATTTGTCCACAAGATGGCAATATAATACAAAGCAAATTTCCTTTTGTTTCACTACAATATCCATCCATTCTTCTTAGATTACAGTGATGTAGTGAATTATTAATGAATGAAAGCCTATATATAAATAAGTCGTTTCACTTTAATTCATTATAGGTATCAAGTCAAAGTGTCGCTCCTCTCTTTTCAGAATCAGAGACAGGCTTTGAATCATACTGAGACATTTATTTATGCATGTATGTTTTCCATTTAGACTGAATGCAAATACAGCAAAATACACACCACCAAGCACTAAGGGAATGTAGAGCAAAAGGCAGTGGAGAATTGAAGGTGGAGGCTAAACAGCGGGGCAGTTTGACGCTCTTCTCAGGAAAAGAGAGGTTCATATCCACCATCTGGACTATGCTGGTTATCTATGTTAATGGGGCCAATAAATGTTTCCATCACGCTGAGAACAGCTCAGCTTCTGAGAGACTTACTGAGAGTCACCACGCTCAATGTCACATTCATCACAGACATGACAGCTCTTCCTCAACCTTGGACCGAGACGTCATTTCTGCATCTGCCTCGTGGTGATTAACAGCACTTTCAGCTGAGCACTGATCACCTGCTCCCATAACCATGACTCCAAACACAAGGGACCCACTCGTGATATTTCTGTTGCACTGCTGACCTTCGGATTATTCTTACCCACCCGTCTCTTGAACCTAAAAAGAAACCCCTGCTCCTGTCAATTTCTACATAGTTTACAGGATAATACACAGGAGTGTGGATATATTTTTATATCTATAAATACAGGCCTTCCATCCTTCAACTCACCACCTTGTCCACAGTACACAGCTTCTCTCCTGATGCTTACAGTCGTTTCTCCTCCATCAGTAGTGTGTCCAATACTACAGCACAGACAGATCATTTTCCCAGCAGTTTACAGTATATGTGCTGCGATCACCGCAAGCAAGTGCCTTCACAACAGTCCAGTGTCATATCAACAGAAAAATAAAACAGAGCAAAATGGAATATACAAACAATCAGGTTGGGAATTTCTTGTTTCCTCAGACACATTAACAGCAGGTTGACAGTTTCAAGTCAGGGGATGGGAGGATTAGAGGACAAGGGCGACAAAGCCATGGTCACAAGTGTTGGAAAAGCTTCTTTGAATATCACTTACTCGGTGTTATAGGTTTTGGTTACGCTTCGGTACGCATGAGAGTTCACAGTTTTCTCCCTTAAGAGGACAGAGGATAAGAATAATGGCTGCTTATTGCAAATCTCACAAGCCGTGCGCTTCACTGCTTCGGTTAACAGTAGCACAAAGTTAACAATGACAACAACGCGGCTAACATGGGTCAGGTTCCATCAGAGGGATTCTCATGTAGGCTATGATAAGTGATGCATAGTATATTATTAAAGATCATTCAGGATATATGTCCTGTGACAGCCAACAGGTTCACACTACCTATCTGGGCTTTGTCTGGAAGGGGAACAGGGACGAAAAGCACAGGCCTCACATTCACCACTCCCTATAAATACAACTGCAAACTCATACACCATAACTTAAAAGAGTTAATCCAATAGAAAACAAAAAAAATACCATGTTAATCTTGTGGTTTTGAACTTTTCAGGCAGGTTTGTCAACATGCACATATGATTAAAAACTGGAAAATGTATTTCTTTACATTGCTTTTGAAGTTGCTGTTTAAAACTGATATGATCAATGTTTTTATACTACAATTGAATCAAATGAACTGTGTGTGATGTAAAAGGTGTTGCTCACAGTAACGAGCCCACATAGAACTATCCCAACTAACCCAACTGTGTTTCCCTCCCCTGTATGTAGCGCTTTTTTAGCTCATTCTTTCGGTTTTACAAACACAGTAGAGCATTTAGCAGCTAATGAGCCAAATATTTCCATTAAGACAGACAAAACAGAGCTAAAAGAAGAGTGTATATTGTACTTTCATTCTCCAGGTGGCCAACATGACTCCAAATAATGTTCCTTGTATGCGGGATGCGTGAAGAGACAACTGTTTGCTAACACCCAGCTGTTATGTCAATGCTGTGTTTGCGGCTTGTTGCACCGCTCTCCAAATGGCAAAGAAATCAATTACAGCAGGTTCAACAAATGAATATGATGCCGACTTTGATTACTGACAGGGGCGTCTGTTAAGATTCTAAATTTTGAATGAACTGCACACAGACAGCCAGATATTTCAGGCACAAGCAGAATGAGCGAAACACAGCATCGAGCCAAGTCACAGCACAAACACTCTTGTCCACACGTGAAGACTGAAACGTCCAAAAACACAAGAATAACCGACAAACTCTGTTTCATGATGAAAGTTAGTAAAATCAAGTAAAACATTATCATCACATTTCTGAAACATATTAGACAAAACATTATTTATATTAAAATTTCTCTAAAAATCTCATAACTGTGCCCGGAACATGTGACCAGCATTTCTTTATGGCAAGTTGACAGCAAAATGAAAACAGTAACCGTGAGTGGGGGGAAATGGGACGAGGACAGTGATGTTTCTGTGTTAGAGACTGGGACCAAAGCAGAGTTCCAGCTGAAGTGTTACTTCTTCGTCAGTAGAGTCCATCGAGATCACTGTGTGTCCACGCAGCATTTCACCGTAGGTGCTCAGTCCCATCATCTCAGAGCTTCTTATGGATTTCAAATGTGGACATTTCTGTGTATTTTATTTTCCATTCTCTTGGCTATTGTGTAACTGAATCATGCACATTATAATCATCTGATATTATACATATTTCATAAACAAGCGAACACTGGACATAAATTAGATCCTCTATAGATAAAAATGTAAAAAGCTAATAAGACAGCAGTTGATTATACTGAAGGTGTCACAGCCAGGAGGTGGCAACAACGAGCAAAAGGCTGCCTCTTGCCACTTGGCACCAACCTCTCCACCACCCCACCACCAGCATTGTCTCCATCCTTTCGATCAGCCCTCCTCTGCTCTTGTATCTTATTCATTTTATATGTGAGACAGGGTAAATGTTTGAGGCCTTAAAAGAAAAAAGGATTTCGTGATTTCGTGAGGGAAGGCTATTGGGGCTGGGATTGAAAACTCATTGAGTCAAATGACCCTCGGGATTTAAAGAAGAGAAAATGTATTAGATTAATTAATATGCAAGTAAAGAGGTGAATTCAAATAGTAATAGCTGTGATGGGGTCTTACATTACATCCCTTCAGTTGATTAAATCAGGTGTGAAATCACCCAGTAGAAGACGTTTCCTGTTCCAAGGAGATGGAGAGCTGAGAAGGGCCGGGACAAAACCGGAGGCCTGGTTGGGTCAAAAGCCAAGTCACAGTTGCTTTGTCTAAAGGGACAGGAGTGGAGGCCTACTGCTTCATGAATTGCAGTCCGTTCTCATGTCGGTGTATACACAGACCGGGTAGAAAGTCCTCATATCTGGTTGGTGGCGTACTGCAGGGCGGGGCAGGAGACACACAGCTGGAGGATCTTCTCCTGTCCCCGTGTCTCAGGAGCCACCATGACCGATCAGGACTGCAAAGAGACAACACAGATCTGTTGATCACACGTGAACATCAGACATGAGCCCTGAGCCAGCTCTGTGGTTATGCTGCTAAAGGCTCAGACTGCCGGGGTACTTCCCATGATGCACTCGGCTCCTTTCTCTCTCAATCTGAATGCAACCTTATCCCAACGCATTTTACTAACTCGAATTCTTCCCTTTCCTGTAGAGTGCTTTCTCGTCCCTCTCCTCTCTCCTCCTGTCACTTCCTGCAGGTGTATTTGGTTCTGGAGCCGTGTTCCTGCTCATGACCCGCAACTACAATTATTGTTATTATTAGTCTTATTATTATAACCATTAATATTACTATAATTATCAGTACAATTATTCATTTTCTTTAACACAACTACTTTTACTGTATGCATTTCTATGTGGATAATGTGTTGGCTGCCCTCTCTCTCGCTCTGTCTCTCTCTTTCCTTCCCTCCCAACCTGTCGAGGCAGATGGCCGCCCACCCTGGGTCACATTTCTGTACAAGGTTTCTCTACCACCGCTTGCTCCTGGTGGGAATTGTTGGGTCTCAGTAAATAATATCACGAAGAGTACGGTCTAGACCTGCTCTGTGAAAAGTGCAATGAGTTTGGCCCCTGGGCACAAAAATGTGTCAGTTTTGCTTTTCTTTGTGGTAGTTTTGAGTCTTTTTGTGGTCGTTTTGCGTCTCCTTGTTGTCACTTGATCGACAATCTAACAAGGAACAGTCACTTTAAACTGAAGCTCTGGCCCAGGGGCCACTTGAGCTGTGCCCGGTACTTGTTCCATGTACATGAAGTGTAGTAATCTTGTAACCTGCAAGCTGTTCATATGACCAGACTGTGAACACTGTAAGAGTCACATACTGTACCTCTGCTTTCTGCTGCAGCTCCTCAGTGGGAGACTCTGTTTCCCTGATCACCACTGCTTTTGTCACCAGCATGTCGGGGTGCTGCTGCTTGGCCTCTTGGATCGCCATGGCAAGAGCCTGGGGACATGAAGCGCATGGGACATGAACCTCACATATTAGCTTCCTGTTCCTTATTACTATTACTTATTACTAAATCAACATACAGTGCAAATGTTGCAGTATTTCTGTAATCCTTCGCCTCACCTGATGTTGGTCCACATCATCATCTCCTGTGATTATAATCCTTTTCTCGATTCTTGTCTCCGAGTAGCCTCCTTTCACAGTCTGCAGAGCACATGCAGAAAGAAATACATTCAATAAGCTCATTACCAACAATAAAAAACCAGAAGTTGTAATCAAAGGTATTGTTGTTTTTATTCCAAGTTCCAAATAACTTGTGGAGGCACGAGGCATATTTAGTATACCATAAGATACAGAAGATACAGGGCAGACTCCAAGCTTTTCATTAAATTGTAACCATGGGAACAGAGACAGTGTTACCTTGGTAACTTGAGTTGTGGTTGCTGAGGTGACGCTCTCAGCTGTGATTGTCAGCGGGGACACAACAGACTCCCTCTCCTGGGGGGCAGCTTTTACCTGCAGCACATTCATAAGAGGGGAGTCATACACACATGGAGGCACACACAGCGGCGCGCACACACATGCTCATAACGCAAAAAGTCGAGAATGTTATTTCTTTGTCTGGCTGTTTCCTGGAGAACAAGCTCATTTTACACTTTTACACTCGTTTTACAATCAATATTTTTTGAAGGTGAGATTCTGATTGAATGCAGACCACAAACACACAGCAATGGAGAGGCAATGGTGATGATGCAGATCGGCCCTTTAATAGATGTTTTATTTAGAGCATTGCGTGTTAGTAACAGCCTAGTTTGGAGCCTTCTGACACTACACTTAAGCGATGGGTTGGCTGTGGCTCAGGTAGCGGAGCAGGTCGTCTAGTAATCGGAAGGTCACTTCCTGGCTTCCCCCCCAACATATTGAACCCCATCTTGTGATGTGTGACTGAAACTTGCCTCCTAAAACTGTTCCAAACTGAAACTTCAGAGCCCCACATGTCCTGACTTTTAGTCCACTACATTTCACAGAATTTGTCATAATCTCATGTCTCCTTTGGTAGCCTTGACCTTTACTACATATCCGTCTGAATAGGTGTGTATTGTGGTTTGTATTTGATGTCATGATGTTGCGTCATGAGTATTGTGGCATAAATGTGGCTCACACTTGGGAAGGATACTGTATGAAGTAAAGGTCAAGGCTACCAAAGGTGCACAATAGCTGGACTTTTCTTAGTCTGCCACCACACACACGCGCCGTCACACTGAGCTGGTTCTTGTGTAAAGATACTTACAGGAGATCCATTTTCTTTAAGGGCAGCAGGAGCCTCCCGCGGGCTGACGACTCCATAGTTCTGAAGGAGAGAGAGAAGCAGTCTTTCAGCTTTCAGTAAAAGAGTCGTTATTACAGTGAGGAAAATAAGTATTTGAACACCCTGCTATTTTGCAAGTTCTCCCACTTAGAAATCATGGAGGGGTCTGAAATTGTCATCGTAGGTGCATGTCCACTGTGAGAGACATAATCTAAAAAAAAAAAATCACAATGTATGATTTTTTAACTATTTATTTGTATGATACAGCTGTAAATAAGTATTTGAACACCTGTCTATCAGCTAGAATTCTGAGTCTCAAAGACCTGTTAGTCTGCCTTCAAAATGTCCACCTCCACTCCATTTATTATCCTAAATTAGATGCACCTGTTTGAGGTCGTTAGCTGCATAAAGACACCTGTCCACCCCATACAATCAGTAAGAATCCAACTACTAACATGGCCGAGACCAAAGAGCTGTCCAAAGACACTAGAGACAAAATTGTACACCTCCACAAGGAAATTGCCAAGCAGCTTGGTGAAAAAAGGTCCACTGTTGGAGCAATCATTAGAAAATGGAAGAAGCTAAACATGACTGTCAATCTCCCTCGGACTGGGGCTCCATGCAAGATCTCACTCGTGGGGTCTCAATGATCCTAAGAAAGGTGAGAAATCAGCCCAGAACTACACGGGAGGAGCCGGTCAATGACCTGAAAAGAGCTGGGACCACCGTTTCCAAGGTTACTGTTGGTAATACACTAAGACGTCATGGTTTGAAATCACGCATGGCGACGGAAGGTTCCCCTGCTTAAACCAGCACATGTCAAGGCCCGTCTTCAGTTTGCCAATGACCATTTGGATGATCCAGAGGAGTCATGGGAGAAAGTCATGTGGTCAGATGAGACGAAAATAGAACTTTTTGGTCATAATTCCACTAACCGTGTTTGGAGGAAGAAGAATGATGAGTACCATCCCAAGAACACCATCCCTACTGTGAAGCATGGGCGTGGTAGCATCATGCTTTGGGGGTGTTTTTCTGCACATGGGACAGGGCGACTGCACTGCAATGCATGACCGGGGCCATGTATTGCGAGATTTTGGGGAACAACCTCCTTCCCTCAGTTAGAGCATTGAAGATGGGTCGAGGCCGGGTCTTCCAACATGACAATGACCCGAAGCACACAGCCAGGATAACCAAGGAGTGGCTCTGTAAGAAGCATATCAAGGTTCTGGCGTGGCCTAGCCAGTCTCCAGACCTAAACCCAACAGAGAATCTTTGGAGGGAGCTCAAACTCCGTGTTTCTCAGCGACAGCCCAGAAACCTGACTGATGTAGAGAAGATCTGTGTGGAGGAGTGGGCCAAAATCCCTCCTGCAGTGTGTGCAAACCTGGTGAAAAACTACAGGAAACGTTTGACCTAACATTGATTTTCTCAGGTGTTCAAATACTTATTTGCAGCTGTATCATACAAATAAATAGTTAAAAAATCATACATTGTGATTTCTGGATATTTTTTTTTTTTTTAGATTATGTCTCTCACAGTGGACATGCACCTACGATGACAATTTCAGACCCCTCCATGATTTCTAAGTGGGAGAACTTGCAAAATAGCAGGGTGTTCAAATACTTATTTTCTTCACTGTAACTCCATAATATGAAGTAAGTCCAGCTACATCAAAGAAATAGAATTGGTGATATTACAAAGAAGCATTACTTCAGTCAGTCATAGTAATGGTAATAACGGAGACACACAGAATATTATCCCATCTAGCAACATTAGTAGATTTTTTGGCCACTTGAGATGCTGATGCATGACACTTGCATTGTGCTACTGTGTGTTCTCTGACACCAACTGTCTGCCACTGCTTAGCAGGTAGCGTAGAGTTGTTTTGAAAGATATTTTTCGCAGCAAACAGTAAGAGTGAACCAAAATAGTAAAGTTGTAGGTCGGACAGCTAAACAATGAGCTGAAACTCAATAAAAAAACAGGAAGCGAGTAAGAAGAAAATAGTGTGCAAAAATATCAAAATACATATTTTATTAGTAAGTCGGATTAATACTTATCTTTTGCTTTGATTTTCACCTCCACCCATAATTTATTAAACATGATTCCAGCTGTGTGAGCTTCTGCGATTGTCCTTTTTTTTTTTTGTCACTGTTTAAGTGTTCAGTGTTCTAGCAGGAAAATAGTAGGTGTATTTTAAAAACCTTAAAAAGGAATGCCCCACAGTTAGTTGTTACAACTCCAGGGCCCTGGTATAGACGTTTTCCACAGCTGACATTTTGGCATGCCATTGCAGGAAAAGGACAGGTGTAAGCGATAACATAAGTAACAAGTGCATTATTTAGATGAGCTAGTTCCAAGGTCCTGCCATTGTGCTTACTTACTGGGACACTTGATGGAACTGACCCAAATGTCTGTTGCGAAAAAGGTCTATTGTTAAAGGGGAGCTATTATGCTCATTTTCAGCTTATTACAGTCAAATGTACCACTCTAGCCAGATTTCACTGTCATTTTGTCAAAAATGAATTGTGAAAGGTTTGGAATTGACAACATATTTCAATAGCAGCAGGCATGCATGATATGCTTGACAAATTGTTTATGAAGGCAATCCTAAATCCTAAACAAATTCCTTTCACAACAATATGGTGGCAATGCAAATCCAAAGCCTGCTATGGCCATGCAGGCAGCTGGCAGCAGCAAGGCCTTAGTGCTGTTGTTGAGAAACTCGTCAGACAATACATGGCGCCCTCTGCTGGCTAAACAATGTTGGTGCTGGAGATCTCTGTCCTGCCTATCGAAGACGTCATCCTCCATTTGCTGCACACACACAGACTACTGTGTCTAACTGTGACATTTAAGAAAGTTTGCGTCAACACTGATCTGGCACTTCAAAGGCTCTCTCTCTACATCATCCACACCATTAGCTAAATGGCTAAAAAGCCCTGCAATGATTACATTATAATAAGCCACCTGTGGGTCAAACCTCAAATCTTTGCCTCTGGAAATGAATGGGATTCGCACCTACTTTCATCATCCTCATTAATACACTGTCAATACTTTAATGGCTCCGTAATGATGCTATTATGTCATCACTGTCTGAGGAATATGGCCTTCACGTCACTGAAGCCCAAAGAAAATGCTTCCTCTTCTCATTAAGACTAACTCCAGAGTTCTCCATGAATATTAAATACTTCATTGCAAGTCTATTTGTTGAGTGACTGATGGGATTGAGCCTATGATGAGAAACTTCCTCATTTGCCCATTCCAACAATACTCTAGCTTAAAATGTATAAACATTAATATATAAAATCTGTGCAGAAGAGTTTGACGAGTAGCTAAATACCAGTCTCAGGTGAGCCAGTTAGCATAGATTAGCATAAAGACTAGAAACAGGGGGAAACAGCTAGCGTGGCTTTGTCTGATGGTAACAAAGTCTGCATACTAGCACCTCTAAAGCTCACTTACTAACATGTTTTGAGGGGTGTACTCCCTTTTGTTCCCAGTGGTTTAGACATTAATGGCTGTGTGATGTGTTATTTTGAGGGGACAGCAAATTTACACAAGCTGTACAGTCACTACTTTACATTGTAGCAAAGTGTCACTTCTTCAGTGTAGTCACATGAAAAGATATAATCACATATTTGCAAAAATATGAGGGGTGTACTCACTTTTGTGAGATACTGTACATCTTCATTAAGCAGTTTTAGAGGTACAGGTAGGTGGACTTTGTTATCTTCAGACAGAGCCAGGCTGGCAGCTTCCACCTGTTTTCAGTCTTTATTCAAAGCTAAGCTAACTGGTTTCTGGCTGTAGCTTTATATTGAGCTTTAAAAGAGTGATATCAATCATCTGAGTAAGAAAGGGAATATGTGTATTCCCCAAATGTTACTATTCCTTTAACAAATGTTAGTTCTGAGTATAAAATATGTAGCTAACTGTGAGTATGCTTAAAGTGGTAAAGATTATAACTCACTTAAATAATGTTTGCAAAAGAGTTTACAGTCATTTACAGTGTTGCTGGCTGTGGTCGATTCCCAGTGCATGCAGCACAACAAAAGGGACGTTAAAAAAACAACAAGACAGCAACATCCTGTACATGACAGTAGAGCAAGGTGTGTTTAAATACATGCTTATATTTGAATGGTTGCTTTACCTGCGGTGAGACATTCATGATGTGGGGGTGGATCTCTGATCCATTCGTATGTGTTTCTGTCTTGCTGTCAGACCTCTTCAGCAAATGAGCCACACTCACAGCACTGGGGTCTTTCTTTGCCACAGGAGGCTGTGTGAAAAGAAAACAGCACAATAAAGTCAAGCAACATCAAGCAATTTCTTCACAGCACTTCAGACCTATGAAGAACTTTAAAAATGACGCTTTGCTTACGAGCAATATATTTTTCAGAGCAAAGCATGTAAACATTGTTAATTTAAAGCAACAAACACTGAAATACATTTTTTTTTGGATTGTTTGTCAACATGCAAATGAAGATGCAGTGGCCGAGAAATTCATAGAAACACTGATGCATCAGACAAAAATAATGAGTGAAAATTTAATAAATGGGTGTAAACATTTAATAAATGAATACATCAACAAAGAGAATAAACATGTAGAATTTTTAACGAAATTAAACATGAACAAAATATGACAAAATTCAAACAATCGGAAATGGTCCAGCAACAAAAAAAATGAAATAAAACTGTGGGTAGTGGTGAGACGGAGTCCAGCCAGGCAGGGTGAATCCAGTGGATGATGATGATGAAGGATGAATACATTCATTTGTCTACCTCATGATGCGTTCCCTCCTCAGGAAGCTTCTCCTCTATGGGAGACTTGTCCCGACAGCCCATTAGACGGGCAGAGTAGAACCTGGAGGTCTCCTCAAAGTCCTCTCGGCCCACCTCGAGCTGTTCTTCCCTCTCTCCCAGCTCTGACATGCCCTTAGAGAAGTCCTCCACGCCGGAGTGGAGGTCCGTGATGACAGTGAAGTCGACCTCGGCCTCCAGGCTGGACGTAGAGCTGACAGTCATGCTGGAGCACTTGCGCTCGATGCCCAGGTGGGTTTCCCTCATGCAGGCCACTGTGTCCCGCTCCTGCTCCTCCTCTGAGGCTAAGCTCAGCTGGGGCCTCCTGTCCCCAAGCTCCTTCTGGGCGGGTAAAGACACAGGATCACCACTCTAAGGTTACATAACTGCAGACAGATGGGTGATGAAGATGACATGGAATGGGAGGGAAGTGCAGTACCACCCTGTTGGGATTCATGGAGGATCCAAATCAAAACCACTGTACGTGCAATGAATACTGAAATATACCGTAAAATAAATCATGGACATGCAATCATGTCAAAAATGAAAAGTTAAATGATTGCGGGATGATGAATAGGGTTTAAATTACAACAGAAATTAGAGTTGGGACACCACAAGGGGGTGCAAGATAAATAAGAAATAGAAAAGGAAATGTTTCTAGAAAACAAAATTATATTTCAGACTTTGCTTTTATTTGTGATTACTGGAGCCTACAAAGGCTAAATGCAGTAACTACATACAGTATGTGGTCAAGACTGAGTTAAGACCAGTATCTGAATTCTGATGTGTTTTACTATTAAAAAAATATTCTGCCATAGAAATGATGTATTTGTTTAAATACAAAGGTCAAAACAAAGCCACTTTGGTAGCAGTTATGGTACACTCGCTAGCTAACCATGGAGAGAATTTGCAATGTTATATATTTATATATATTTGCTGCTCTGCTCTGCAGCAGCGAGAATAGGGAACAGGGCTTATTTGCTATGATGTGGTAGAGATTGATTGTTGAAATGGAGTTATAGACATCACACAGGTTTGATATATGTTAGAAACTAATGTGTTGAAACGGAGTTGTAAGAGTGTTATGTTATGTTATGTTTTATTTTAAGTTCTAAGGAAGTGCTGAATATCTAAGTAGTCTCTCCAGCACTGTTGTTTCAGTGTTGTTAATGCTGTATGCCAGAGGGCTGCAAATAAGATTGGCATCATCCAATTTTAATAAAGCCATTACATGATTAAATGAATACATTGCCAAATCATAATTTAAAAACCAATGTTGGGTTCCCGTTTCATTCAGTCAGTAGTGCACAGGCCTCTTCGAATTAACTAAGAAGAGACTGTTTTAGAGCATGTGCTGGAGTGTGTGTGTCCCGGTGATTTTTTCCACATCCATCAACCTATGGACGCTTATTTTCATTGCCCCAGTATCCCAACCGCACCTGTCCTGATTATTTCAGAGGTGTGTTACACAAGCCACAGACTCTTTTGTAAGTAAATTAAAGTTCTCAATTCAAGTCAAAATAAAGCATTGTTGCAAAAAACTTTCACACACTTTTATTTTGTAGGCACAATCACTTAAGAGGGAGAGATTATGTGAGTAACTGTTGCTGTCATGACTGAGATCTATTTCAGCACCTGCCGCTATCAAATAATTATTTATTTATTTATATATTTATTTATTTGGCCTGCGGGCCACTTATTGCCGACTGCTGCTGTAGGTGAAACCAATGTGAGACGGACATTTTGAACAAAAAGGAGGTGTCTCATCGCACTGCACTTGTTCTAATAAAACAAGGGGTACTGACATGCCATCTGTCAGACGCAAAACAGCTCTTTTATAAGGGGTCACACGCCAAAAAGGTCGGGAACCAGTGTTTTACAATAAATTTAAAGTAATGTCACTTGTATTATTTATGCATATTTGCTAAATAGATGACAGTAAACACTTGATCATATCAGGGGTTCTGTTCACAACACACACACACGTTCAAACTCTGATCATGGTTATTGATGAGGGCAGCTGAGCTGCCAGTGAAAAGTAACACATTTCATCCTTTATAGCATTTGGCCATCATTTTATATATATATCAGGAGATACTGGAGATGCAGAGGAAAACAGAGTATGGGTGGAGCATATGAAGGTAGGTTAAAACACAAAAGAATAACCTTGAAATCAGAAAACGGCTCTTCATAAATGGCAGGAGTAGAGACAGGCTCCTGCAGGGGGAAGCAGAGGAAAGAACAGAGAGAGCATCTGAAGGTTAGCACAAGCTGAAGTGATCAGTGGAATTACAGGCCACCACGCAAACAAAAATCCTAACAGCAGAGCTTGACTGGAGCCTGAAAATATGAGCTCAGTGTGTTCTGAGCACAAAATATTTCACTCTAAACCTAAACTGGGATCCTGTACTGCTAAAGGAGACTCCAAATCTGAATATAGCCACAGATTTCACAGTAGCTGATAACTCTGTTTTAATGTAATTTTATATGACTCAAACCCAAGTTTAGGTGAGAAATTCAGCCAGACCCAATCTAAGCCCACTGGATCTGTTCAGATCCAGGCAGGTCCAAATGGATTCAGGCACAAATTTCAAGCACTACTCGGTACACGGTAACACGGCGTACAGTTTAGAGGACAGAAAAGAGGTGAGCTTACTGCGACAAAACAACATCTACAGCCAGGTTTATTTGTCAGAATTAGCAGAGGCAGGGAAAGAGAATCATGCAGTTTGTATAATGAGCAGGTTCAGTATTAGCAGCAGCCACTCATTGACCAACTGAGAAAGTGTTGCCACACTATGCACCTTGAATTTCAGTATTCAAATATTGTCAAAACATATTGTTAAATGTCCAATAAAAAGGTTCCGGGGTGCATTTCAAAGCCTGTCAAAATGACGAGTGGGTCCACGTGTGTGGAGGAGCACCTCATTTTTACCCACACTCGCCAGTGAGAGCTACGCAACACCTCTTCTCATGCCTATTTACTCCAGTATATGCAAGAGCTTGACTCAGATGCAAAGGTGGGAAATGATGAAAGCTATCATGTCTATTCACTTCAAATTCCTTTCATTCCAGTGCCAAATGCGTGCAAGCTCCTAATGATACCAACAGTGAAATGAAAGCAGCAAATCTGACTGTGTCAGGCACTGAGCTGTGGTGTCTGGCTGCTCACTGCCTGCTGGGGTTTCACAGTTGGAGGAACCAATGTGTTTATAACACCGCTTAGCTTTCTATCCATATGGGGTAGAGTAGAATAATGCATCTGATTTGAGACTTATTATCACCAATCTGGAGGATCAAGGGACATTTTGTAAATTCTGTTGATGCAAGTTTGATGATTTGTGCAAAAACCAATTCTATACTCCATTTATCTCTAATTTTGGGAGATAATAGCTGTCTGTAACAAAGTAATGGATGGCAGTACATTTCACCCGTTTCTCCTCAAATGAGGGATTTAATTTTGGAACATCAATGTGAAATAAATCGTCTGTTTAGTATTTCCAGTTTGAAAATGCACAATGATGTGTAAACTCATCAGAGCGATGATGAGTATGCCTTTCTTTCCTTGCCACCCTCTGACAGAGAACAACGTGAGCTGGAAAGAAATTTGAGGCTCACAAGTTAGAGAAGGCGAAGACAAACCAACCACCAAAACATGAGATATTGATTTTTGCCTTTTTGAAACTTCCACAGCCAGTGGTGAGCTGTACAGATTTGCCAAACAGTGTGGTGCATGTTGAGGTTAATGGGAAGGGAGAAATTGGGTTGCCATATGGGAAAATGTCCAAACTGTTTTGATTGGTTTTTGCCACAAGACAGAGCAAAAATACCGCTCCACCTGCTCTTCATACAGGCACGAACAGGTAAGATGGATGAGTGTTTCAAGTCACTGAAAACGCAGAAAAAAAGAAAAATGGCGTGCGAGTCTGTCAGAAGCTCATGCGATGCTTTATTTCCAATGACTGAATAGCAGATGCCAAGCAGAGTTACCGAATGTCTCTTCTTGGCTGCGTCCAGGCTCGGCTCCCTGCCGGCATTTCGGCTGTTCCGCAGTATTAGTCCAGACTCCCTGGCCTTCTGTGTTTTCACTGGCGGGGCTGGGGGAGCCATTTTGGGAAGAGCTAAAATCTTAGAGCCGAACGACTGACTGTCTGTAGGTCCTCTACCAGGCTGAGAGCCGTCATCGGGATGATCTGTTTTAGCGATACCCTCCAGATCTGCTGCGAATGCTGAATGGAAAGTGGAGACATCAGTCCAGTTGAGGTCTGAGGGTCCCTCCGGCGAGCCGACCGACCAGCGGTATTCTCTTCTGAAGGCCCGTGTGGCCTCGTCCTGTCCTGCCCTGTCCCTTTCATCCTTACAGGCTACGCTCTTTGACCGCTCTGGCTTAAGAGGAACAATCCTGGTGATTTCCGACTGGTAGCTGCTGCCTGACAGTCGGTGGAGAGATGTCCTCTGACCTCTGTCTCCCATGAAACCCTCAATATCCTCCGACCCAGAACTACTGATCTTCCTCTCATGTGTCCTGACCTGTCGCAGCTTTACCTCCGCTAGCTCTTTGTTGTCAATAAGACCCTTTCCTCGCACCTTCATCACGCACTCCCCTTTAACACCTGGTAATGAACTATCATGTTCTATCTTTCCGGGTCCGTTCACTGAGCCTAAATCGATATCTGCTGGCCCAATGTGACTCACTTTTCTCTTTACCTGCTGTGTTTCTTCAGCGGAGATCTCCCTGCTTTCTCCTGGTGATACATCCTCTTGTTTGTTCTCTCTATGGACCCTGACAAACTGATCCTTTCCTGAACCTTGATCATATTTCATTAACACCACTGGCGATGATTCACAATGATTTTCCGTTTGAGAGTTTTTTTCTGGACTGTTGTCCGAGTCTGAGCCCTCGTTTTCTTCTCCAGTAGAATCACTGCCTCCTTGCTCGTAGATGAGCTCCGCGGGCATGCCCAGGTTTAAGCTCTGGGGTCTCCTCTTTTTATTCGGTTTAGAAGCTTTGCGTTCCTTTATCTGGCGCGAGCCTGGGGCCACGTCGTTGTTTGCCTCAGGGTCTGAGGCTTGAGATGGTTTACTTTGAGATTTGTCTTGAAACAAGTCTGCATTCTCAGATAATTGAATCACAAAACGACTTTTGTTAGTTGGCCGTGGCTCAGAGCATATATCTGCCTCTCTGGACGATTTTGTTGATGGGAAATCATCAACGTGGCTTTTCATTTCCTTCCTGTCATACCCTGTTACCTCTTGATGTATCATCTTGGTAATGTCTATCTGTTTTTCCAGCTCCTTTTTCTCCCAGGAGCAATCGGATGTGAGAGATTTGTTCTTTTCTTCTGCCTTCCAGTCATAGTCCTGTTGATAAGTTTCCTGTTTTTCAATCAATACCCACTCCTCAGAACCCTACATGTTGGTATAGATTAAACACAGTTAGACACGCCAAGCACAACTTCTGTAAATAATGAAAATTATAAAATCATTTGAATCACAGAACAGGGAACAGAATGTAGTGAAGTTTTGGTAAACATTTGCGTTTAGGGATTCATTGTACAATATGTGGTAGTATTTTGTAGTAATAGATAATAGAAAGACATATGAATGATAATAATGCATGGTATGCAGTGCATTTCACCAAACCAGAAATTATATGAATAGTAAACTGTATCATGAAAGAGAAAGAGTCAGAGATGTGCAACCTCAGGTGAAGTCACCAGAGTCTTCTGGACGAAACCCTCAACAGACAGGCTGTTAACAGGGTCCTTTCCCACTGCTCGGCCCGCCAACTGGCCAACACAAGACAGAGGAGATTGTTTAAAAGAGAAGGAAGAATAGCTGTTAAAGCTCCAAATGAGGGAGTAAATTAGTAAGATGCACAACTGGCCATTTCATGCAAAAGGGTGAAAATTGGAAAGGCAGGAAGAGGAGTTATTCTGTAGAAACATTTTAATGAACCTCAAACTAAAAACATGCAATCCCATGTACCTGACAGCCACCAAATCCACATAACCAACTCAGCAGACATTTGCAATGCAAATACTTTTTCTGTAACTACATCAAAGAGTTGAGTTCGACTGAATCTCTTGGAAACAGTCAAGATGAGAGAGACTTTCCCAGTCTTCCACTGTCAGTCAATCAGTATAATTACCCCCCCCCCCCCCACACACACACACACACGGCAGATTCAATTTTCTTACATAGACAACGTTTCACATTCTGTGGACATAACTGTCCCAGACAGCGGATGAGAAAATTTTATACACCGACAAAGACAGAACTATCCTTTCTGGAGGCTACACTCTACGTGCTCTGTTTTCAAAAGCCTAATTACCAAAAAATGATCAAAGCTCCAGAACGTTTGTGATCTGGCACAAAGAAACGTGTGCAACTATTAGGCAATCAAGGGGGGGAAAAAAGATAACCGATAATTATTTCTCAAGTGCCTCATATTGAGTAGATCTCAACAACATCTTGAAACTAATCTCATCAAGATGCTTCCTTCTGAAATACTTGTCAGTCATCTTCAAGTACCTCTAAGTTATTGTCAGAATTATTCTGGTACACCAGAGAGGCAGAATGCACTTCATTATAAAAGGTCCTAAAATAAACAGCAGATTTTTATGTTTGTTGTTGTGAGCAGTAGCAGACCATGATCCATTTAATAACCATAACTACCTTTACTAATCATACTTGTGTGCTTTTTTTTACAACTATACTAGGACAGTATATTTTCAGGCCTGAAGTATTCAAAGACAATGAAAAGAAATATTCAAAATCATCCCGGGGGGGCACAGCCTACTCACAGCCTTCTTCTCTGGTGTGCCGGTTGGGGAGGTGACTGACAGACGCTTCTCACGGTTCATCAGCTTGCTGTTTGGCTCCCTCAGGGTTTTCTTCAGCTCGTTGATGCTGGCCTGGTGCTTCAGCAAGAAGTCCTGTGACTTATCCAGAAACTGGAGGAGAATGTGTGGAGGAAGAAAAACAAGACATAAAAGGGAAGGGGGCAGGCATTAGAAGAATGTCAACATCAGTACTCACATAAACACATCTGATATGCATGACTGAATGAAATGTGAGACAATACTGCAAATACACAGTAGAAGATGTGCTGCTTACGCTACTTAGTGAAGAATATTCTAATGTTTTTACTATTTTGATAATGGGAGAAGAGAAATGATATTTAAGATGCTATTAAAGGTCACAGAAAACAAACAATTTTAGTTACAACTTAATTCATTTTAAAACAAAGAAAGGAACGTGACACTCAAAGCATTCACTGAAAAGTAGATTCACGAAAAAATGAATATGTAACATCCATTAACCTTGTTGGATACTGAAAATTCTGCATTTATGTTGTTGAGAAAAATATAAAAATGATTGTACCAAACAAAGATGTTTTCTAAAATCTGCTGAATATGATGTGTAGGCATCAAAATTGCTGTAGACCATATTTAGGCCTACTGGAATCATTCCTCCTGTTCATACTGGCCATACAGAGACTCCTACCTAATGCACTTTCAAAGTCATAAGGGACAAAGACCACAGTCCTCCTTCTGTGTCAAGTTCTATTGTAATAATAATTTCCATAATGTTGTCAGACACTTATAATAACAATCTGAGCCTGTCTGTGGCAAAAAACAAGCTCTTTAGTGGACGTACTTGATGGTGCGCAATTGCCCGCAAGGATTACATTGCAGCCCTGCTGCTGTCGACTACAGCGTTTGGCCAATACTAGACCAATTTCAAAAATCTTTGTCCCAGTTAGTCACATAGAAACATGGGTGAAAATCCAGGTTGAAAAATAACAAACTTTCTATCTGTAACACTAGAGACATTCGAAGCTACAACTTGATCCAAGGGGGAAAATGCTGGCAAATCTTAATGTGTTAAAAAAAAAAACTTTTGAGGTTCAGAGGAACAGCGGCACACACGACAAAAAGTACAAGGGCTGAAGACAGGAACCTGTACCTCCTGCTTGTGCCGAGGAGTGGCCTCCTGGTCCAACTGAGAGAGCTGAGTTGGGGCAGGAGAATGGGCAAGCACAAGAGCGGTCAGAGGTGAAGAGTGCAGGGTCAGAGAGTGCAGGAACAAGGTGAGGTGCAGAGACAGGATGGTAGAAGGTAACATAAGTCAGTCAGAGGACAGGCAGACAGACCGGATGCTCAATTTGGCCACTTGTTATATCCCAGTAGACATCTTGGAATTTAATAGATAGTTTTACGGCTTGCAAATATACCATCAATATAAATGTGGAGATTTTTGTAGCTACCATAGCTGCTCTTATCAATTGCGAAATCAAGACAGAAATTTTTTCTTATATCAGTTCAAACTGGTTTCCAAAGCTTTTTTAGCATGTCGTATTGTAAAGATTCTGTAATTCAGTTGAAACTTGTCCCTGTTGTACCAATCTCTCTGTCAAATGTTTGCTCGGATGCATAACTATGACAAATAAGTCCAGACACAACTTTGCAGCATCCCTTGCTTATATGGTGCAATGCAGCTCAGTTTTAACAGTGAGAACAGTGTTGACTGCTGCATATAGACACTGGAAGACAGGCAGAGAGAATGAGATACAATCAGACAGACATACTTGGAAAAAGCAAATAATAATGGATGAATAAAGACAGGTTCACAGACAGACAGAGACCAAATCACCAGGCACCAAATACCTCCTGTTTACTGTCAACTGGTGACCCAGCCTCCTCCTTCTCGCCAGCAAGAGTTTTAAAAAAAAGAAACAGCATGTTAGCAACAGAGGGCGAGGCTGGAGTTAGCATTTTTCAGCATAATGAGTAAGGGTTAAAAACTGTAAAGCTGTCAGCGGGATTTATGAGCAGTGCAGTGTAGGCATATAAGCCAGAGTGAATAGAAGTGGAAGGAGAAGAGTTAGTAAATGCTAAATCCACTAAAGCCACCACAGCGTTATGCCCCTGCTGGATAAGCCTTTTTACAACAGCACCCCTGCAGTCCACGCCATTTCCCTGCACCAAGGCCGTAGTTGTCTTCAAGTTGACTAAAGCTCTATACATTTAGACCTCCCGTGACTTTAACATGAAAAAAATCTACTGTAGCAACAATGGAAATTTATAAAAAGTCACAGTTTGTCAGGAAATCTTTACTACCATGATCTCTTTTTTTTTGCTTGGAGTGACATTGCCGTCATGGTCTTTGTCCTGCTCCTGGCCCCGCTCTTGGTCCTTGTCCTCCTCGTCCTGCTCCAAACTGGGCTCCAGCTCGGTCTCCTGTTCGTCCACAGAGGGGCTGTGGAGGCGACGCTGTTCACTGATGCTGCGGTGGGATAGACCATCATGGTTCTCACACATGGCTGACACTGGCCGTGAGAACTCTGCTGGTAACAAGAGTTGAAGTGTTACAAGAGACAGTCAGAGTTCAACTGAGATTAGGTTTTTAAGCAATAGTTTGACATTTTGTGAAATGTGCTTAGGGTGTTTTCACCTCAGTAGTTTGATCATTTTGGTATGAACCAAGGGAAAAAATTACACAGTGTCACATTTTAGCTCCGGTACGGTTCATAGTTTTTTTACTTTTTACAAATTGAGTAAAAACAAAGTCAACATGAAGTCTTGATGATGCGCTGATGATGTTCAGAACCCAAGTGGGGGAATCAAATTCAAGTGACAGCAAGTCATGCAACATTTGAATGTTTCCTTAAAAAAATAAAAATACTGATTATGAGCATAATTAGTATAATTAAACTATAAATCGACTGCATTTTATGCAGAATGACAAACAACTTGAGACAGGAGAAAGTAGTACACAGTGTAAGATACAACACACCACTGACTGGGTGATACCAGGGAAAATCCCAGTCTCATGTGCAGACACGCATACATGTCACCATGGTTACCAAATTATTTGTATAGATATATAAGTTGCTTTTACAGATTACTTATTTTAAGATCACAAACTGTTCACAACTATGGATTTAATAGCAAAGGCTATCATGTCGTCTAAAATAAAATCAAATTCTTTACTGTCCTCTACTGTACGTTTTGCCCATCTCCGCCTGGTAACAATGCAGTAATAGTGAAATGAAGAGTGTGTTATTTTGAAATGATTTGGGCCCACCGGACCAATGTTGCTAAATCTGCAACTTTGGAACCAAACAGATTTTCATACACTCTTTAGATCCCCCATCCACCGTTATGTTGGGGAGCTACTGTGGCTCTCACCTCCGTCCAAGCTCCTGGAGAGCAGGTACCTCTTGCTGGTGGAACGTTCAAAGTGCGGAGCAGGCCGGTCTATAAGAGAGCTGGCCTGTCTGGTTTGAGCCTGTGTCCTTCCACTGTATCGAAACTTTGAACCCATCACCAAGAAGCCCTTAGGAGGAGGCTCTGGAGACACCAGCCTGTTGGGGTGGGGGGGGGGGTAATCAGTGAATATGCCTGACCACATATTGTACCATGTAACAAAAAGCAGCTGCTGGAGTTTCAGCTGTTACATTGAAAGTGGATGTCAAGCTAACTTCTGAGGATGTGTTTTTCACATTATCTGTCCAAAAGGAAGCCATCACATTAGAACCATCTTTGACCAACTGTTTCTTTTCCTCTGTGGTTTGCAACAGCCATGTTCATCATCTTGAATTAATTTTGACCTTCAGGCTGAGGCAGAATCTCCTTTTAACATAGTATAAAATTCTACTAGCATCAGTGCCTTTTGCGTGCTGGCTACATAGCGAGCTATATTATTTGTGAATTGTTTCCTCGCACCTCCTGCACACTCGCGTAAAGGTGAATCAGTATTCATCAGATGACCAGTAATGCTGCGGTGGTCATGAAAGTAATATGAGCTGAAGAGGGGCTACTGTATGTTTAACAAAGCACTGCACAATGAGTGTGGTAGCATCTGATGAAGCTGTTCACAAGGAAGTGTTTTGTTTGCCTTGATAGGGCATTTAACGGGAACCTCCCAACCATGAAACAAGATCGATTCTTACCGGAAGAAGGTGTGATGCTCAATGCAGACCTTCCACAGCTTCTTGGCAGCTCTGTGGTTAGGAAGCTTAAAACCAATTGTACTTTCAAACTGTTCATACTGGAGGGGAGGAAAGAGAGAGGACAGGGAGACAGACAAATGTGAAGAAAGGTGCATCAGGTGTGTTCACTCTGTTTTGCTGAAGGCCACCTCTGTACTTCTCGGTGGACTAAATTTTGGGCTAATACAGTAATTTAAATAAAAATAAACTAAACCAGTACCACTGTATAAGCACAGGGCAGAACGCAGCAGATGAAGGCAGAAGAAGGATAATATCCAATGTTCAGACACTGGGAGCAAATGGGAGGAAAACTATTTCATGGGTCTATATTTACACTCTTTATCCCTCTATTATGGCTGTGGCTGCAGCTGCAGCAGCTCTTCTGAAGAGGCTCTTTATTTGGCTCGATCACAGGCTCACTGTGCGGCTCTGTCACTTGACTGGGTCTGGCCCAGACAGCCTGTCACACGGAGGCTCAGCATGGAGGATAAGCTGCAGCACTGCACAGCACAATAAGGAAGGCCGGAATATAGACCCTGACCGTGCAGAGGAGCAAAACTGGATGTATAAAGCAGATGATTTTACAGCTTTCTGCTCAGCACCACTGACCATACATGTCTTTCTGCAGTGGCTTTCAATGGTAACAGCCGTGACAGAACGTCAGCTATACCAAAAGGAATAGTTCGACATTTTAGGAAATCGGCTTATTCGCTTCACAAACAGCTAGTCTGGCTCTATCCAAAAGTAAAAAAAACCTACTGGCACCTCTTAAGATCACTATTTAAAACATTAAATCTCATTTTAAAAACCAAAGTGTGAAAACAGCGGCTTCCAGGAGTTCAAGGTGGATATTTTTTTAACTTTTGGTAAGTCTAGCTGTTCCCCTTGCTTCCACTCTTTATGCTAAACTAGGCTAAAAGGCTGCAACGTTAGATTAGATAGATTAGACATGAGAGTGGTACCAATCAATCTAACTCTACACATATTCCAAAACTATCTAACTATTCCTTTAAAGGAGTAATAAATCACTGATTTAGTATTGCAAATCAATAAAGCTTGTGAGAGACAGATTTAAAAAAATAATAATAATAATAGAAAGAAACTGAAACAGCAGAGGCCCTTTTAGTTATGGGACAAGCTCGGGAATCACTGGGTGCTACACTTCCCATAATGCAATTCAATAGACTTACTCCTTTCCAAATCCACACCCACAATTTGTAATGCTTTCTGTTATAAATTTGCATTCTCCAGACCGGATGACATCACGTGGTTAATTTCTCAATCTGACAAAAAATCCTTCAATGCAACAGAAGACTTTACACAGCTGTGATTGTTGAGTAGCACAAACCATGACTTCTTTTGAACTTTAATGTGTAAAATGGATAATGTACTCCTTTAATTATCCTTGACCGTGACGCATACCTCTCCAGGTCGTATCTTGATGTAGAAGTTGCTCCTCTTATAGGAGATCTTAAGGATCTTTGGCCAGGCAAAGCGGTTGATCCTCAGCCTATCACGGTAAATGAGCAGGCCGTTGGCACAGACACCCAACATTATGTCAATGCCTTCAGAATCCTACAGGGAACAAGGGATGGCAAAGAGGCAGAAATTATTTAAGAAGTACACTTTCATGCAAATGAAACTAACTTTCAAAACAGCCAACCTTAGCGTGATGCAGGTCCACCCCGTACATGGAGAGTTTCTTCGCATTCTCCAAGAAGTTAATTTCAGCCTCTGCTGGAGTCATCCCCCTGTGGGCATAATAATGGTAAAATCTGTAACCAACAACAACAGGATTTCTTGAATAATAAACACATAATCTTGCGCAGTGGGATCAGAATTATCTTTATATTTATTTTATCTTCAATTCTAAATTCCTCCCATCCATGCCCCCATGCATTATATTTGGGAATATGCCAAACAGAGCGTGGTGAAGACCCTCTAACTGAGAAAGTGTTCTTGCACAGGCAGGACTTGCACTGTGTACATCTCAATGGCAGGTGGTGCAGTGATAACATCTATCAGCCACGGAGTGTTTCGACACAATGGAAAAGTCATCAGCCGATCAAGAGATTTGTGGATAGATAAAAGACTGATTTAAACAACAGTGTGTCCAGTACTTGTAGTTTCGATGCAGCTCCATCACCCTCTCCTCCAGCTCGCGAGTCTGATTCGGGGCAAAACGGAAATCGCTGACGTAGTCGGCGCCATGGTCGTCCTGGTCATAGTCCCCCAGCTCAGCTTGAACAGTGTAGGAGCCCAGGAGAGCGTGAGTGACGAACGAGCACGGCAGACGACCTGACAGCATGTCATCCCTCAGCTGCAGACACAGGTAGTATCTGTCAGATGAGACAAAGGGGGAGGGGAGGACAGGAGGGTGTTGGCAGTCAAACAAGCCTGAGCCAAGGCAAGCTCAAACAAGTATTCAGCGTAGTTAATCCATGGCAGTTAGTAGCATTCCAGGTCTAATCCTCAAAAAGGAGTGAGGGATTTGGGTTGCTTTGACACCAGGGCAAATAAGCCATGAAAATTGTAACAAAACTTTAATGTAAACACACATCTTCAGGAAAATAAAAAAGTCATGTGTAAGCAATTTCTCCTCTGATCTGAAGAGCCCCTGACAGCACAGCCCGTGGAGCTACAACCGATGATACTGTAGGAGTGCGTGAGGTAAAGACGTATTGTACCTGGTAATATCTTCAGTGAGCTGGGAGGGGTCCGGAGGATAGAACTTGACAGCGAAGGCAAAGTGCCATGGAGAGTCTGAGGAGAAATTACAAGGAAGGTAACTACAGTCTGTCTAGGGAAAATGTAGCTAAGTTGTGTTCACAAGCCAATGGTGGAATTGTATCTAACAGATTAACACAAAACTTTTCATCACTTGCAAAATTTAACGACTTCACTAATTGTATATTAAAACATTTATCAGCTCAGCTACTTGGAAAAGACACTCACTGCGCATCTGCTTTTTGATCTCCTTTGAGGGGTCCAACCAGTTCTGAAAGACAGAAGGCAGAATTCACACAGGGCATCCTGGAAACATGGCTAACACACAACACAGTGTCACATTTTGCTCTAATTGCCATCAGCGTTCCTAATGAAAGCCTTTCCATATGGTGAAATTAAGAAACTTAAGTGCTAAGCCGTTCAAATGTGCAGGGTGCGGATTTAATTCAAGCACCTGTTTCTTCATTGTGCTGCGAAATCCAGCCAGCCAGTTACCTATAAGATCTCATCACATCCGATCGAGCAGTGAACTGCCTCGCCTATAGGGGCACCATTTAGGATATGGTTGCTAGAGCATCACATCAGTGGTGCAGTGCAAATCAAGCTGTTTAGAGGCACAGCAGCACACAGACAAGAGAGTAAAGAAATACCTAGGTAAGGATTACTCTAACCCTGCCAAATCCAAGTAAATAACAGTAAATAAACAGTAAATCTACTTTTTGTTTGAGTTTTTTGTTTACAAGAGAACATTTATACATATTGAAGTTCCAGAGGGGGTTTACGGTGTATCCAGTAACTCGGTTCATCTCTGAAGGTTTATGGTGTTCCATGGACCCTTTGCATTGTTTCCCTCCCTATATATTCTTCCACCTATAATATACTCCAAGTTGATTTCCTTAAAAGTTATCCACAGATTTGATATCCTATATATAGATAATGGGTGGTGATGGCCCAATGTGTCCCTGAGCAAGACACTTAACCCCTAGTTGCTCCAGAGGCGTGCGACCTCTGACATATATAGCAATTGTAAGTCGCTTTGGATAAAAGCGTCAGCTAAATGAATAAAGGTAAATGTAGATAAATATCTATCTTAGAGATATACTCCATATCAGCATTCCATAATAAATGTAGTGATTGTCAGTTTATCTTGAGTGTGTTATTTAGGTGAATACTAAAGAGGTCAAATCTCCAGCAATGACTTTTTTGTGAGACAAACACATTTCACATTGTAGCCTTCAACAGAAGATGCATATCTCTGCTGACATACACACAACAACACACTTGTGCTTTGTAGGTTATATTTATTATAGGTGTCTCCAAAATGTAAAAGCTAAGATAGCAAATACAGCATTGAGATCCATTACAAAAACACTTTTGGATATTTTTAACATCTCATTAAACACCACTAAAAACAGGTTAGAGATCAGTCAACTGTCTGAAAAAAAATACTTAACTTTAATACTTAACTTTAAAATGGTTATAGTAGTAAAATCCCCCACCCCCCCCCAAAAAAACAGGTCTAAAGTCACCGAGTATTTCACTGTTTTTCAGTTTAGCGGTAAATTACTCAGATGGTAAGAGACACGCTGTGCGCATTTACGCAAGAGTCATAGCAGTGTAACTTCATTAATTATTAAAATCTCGGTCGAAAGGATCAGTCAGGATTTAATGTTAATTTGTGTTCTGTATTCTTCTACACATCCAAAAGGTCTCACACAGTCCAGGTTCATTCAGTGAAACTCTTAGGAGTAAACCAATCGTCCTCCTGATTAATCCGGAGCTCCATCAGAGTTTGTAAATTATTTCAGAAGCTATAAGTTAAATCATGTTTCCTCCGGAGAGTTTCCTCCGTACTGTCACGTCACATTTATGACAGTTTTTTTTTTGTTAAGCTGCTTAAATGCCCTACAGTATTTGTTGTGACTTTATTGCACACATGGAAATGTTTAAAATGAGTGACAGCAGCCTCTCTAAACATGAAAGTAAATTGTAAAAAAATAAAATAAAATAAAATAAAAAAATCGTGCAGGAAAAAAACACAAAATAAAGAAAAAGAGATGTGACCCACAAACAGTTCATCATAGTTTATAATGATGCAGACGTATCATAGAGGAGACAGCGTCTGTCTGTTAACAGACTCCAGTCTGCAGTGGAGTTCAGACACTTCACTGATAAACCACAGAGCTGCAGAGTGACATTAGGCTTTATGATCAGAGAGGGTTTTTATATCACGTCCACACTTCTGTCCATATCTCCCCTCTGCTGTGAGTCTGCAAATCAATCAATCAGTTGATGGTTTTAATAATGCGCCATTCATTTGTCATTATAATAGCAATGCACCACCAAGCGCAAATGGTTTTTAAGGGACTGCAAAATGACGCTCTGATTGGTGTATTGTATGTCAGTCCCAAAACACACCCATGACTAATTCACAGTACAACCCTTTTGAACCATGCTCCTGGCATAATGACCATAATTATTCCACCGTTAAAATAGCAAAATTGGAGTTGGACACGCCCCACACTTCACTAAAATAGGGCCCTTAGAATTAATCGTGAGCGGGATATGAATGTCTGTCAATTTCACTCAAAATCACACGTTGATCTTGTGGTGACATTAAATTAAAAGTGAGGCAATCAAGTCGTCAAATCCTTCTTCTAGGTCAACAAAGACAAAAAATTCCCCGAGCACAGCAACACAATGAGGTGCTGGTAGATAGCAGGATAAATCTATGAAAAATCAAAAAACAAACTACCACACACTGATCTGACTTACTACTTTATTTGTGAGCAATGCGTTTCGCCTATTGCTTCTTCAGGCTCACATAGTGAAATTACAAAAGCACTTACTTACTTACTTGAAGCTTTGCGCTGCTTTGGCACTAAAAGGAAATGTCAGGGGATCACCAAAGATATTTGTACCAAACTATGTACCAGTCTATCCAGTAGTTATCAAGATGGTGCTGGATTACAAGTCAGGTGATCTTCACAGTCAGTACGTTTCATCCTCTGGGGACCACGAATGTTTGTACAAAATTTCATGGCAATCCATCCAATAGTCGTTGCGATATTTGAGTCTGGACGAACCAAGTGACACTGCCATCATGTGAGCCATGCTGCTAGCGTGGTTAAAATCTTTTTTTTTTAAATCAGTTAACCCAAAAAGAGAATATAGTAATTCTAAAACAATAGAAGTCTAATCAATAGGAGTTAATATAATGTGTTACTTGTCTTTACACACACAAACACCGTCTTCACCAACCTGAACACCACGCAGCAGCTGCTTATTAATGCTCACAGTCTTTTTGGCAGAATCACGAGCATGAAAGGTTGATACAGCAGAGTGCAATCCTGTGGCCATGTTGGGAAAACTTCAAGCATCTCTGGCAGCTCGAACTGTGCCTTCATGTACGCGCACACTCACATAAACAGACACAAATACACATACTCCTCCGGTGTTTAATCAAACTGCTAAAGACTTTAATGAGCCGAAGGCATTTATCGTCCCCCTGAATCTATCTTGTATTAGCCAAGGCCAAAGAGCACTCAATTAGTAAGGTGCTCTCTGCTGCTTTGCTTTTCTTCTGCAGAAAAGGAGGAAGAACTTTTAATCGCTGACTGTTCAAGGCTTCACTCTTGCTTTTGCAACCTTAGTTCATAAAAGCAATCACACGGAATAAATGTTTGCCCAAAGGGCAAAGATTAAATCCTCGTTAATACCAGCTGAGACAGAGAAAGGGCATCTGGAATGACAAGGCTTGTTTGGGCTACCAATCAGCAATGACCCCAGACAGTAGGCTCAAGCTGCCCTCTGATGAGCCTGTCTAAGCCATAGCATTACCTAAACTCAAAGAGAGGAAAATATTGGAACTTCAAGTGTTAACAATCTCTAACACCCCGTTTAACCTGTCCGTATGGGATGACATCACGCTCGATCCAAAGCCTCAGCCGTCAGGCACGCATCAAGTCACAACATGACGGCTGACAAAGAATGCACAAGCTGATTATGGTGACAGAGGATACACTCCAGATGTTAAAAGGGACTTAGTCTTGTCATTTCAGCCATGTTCAAAAGGCAGGAGGTTCCTCTGTAGCCTGTTGCGTAGTCACATATATACATTTAGGGAGGCTCACATCCATCAAAACCCAAACCCCACATCTGACAAAGAGCTCTGATGTGAGCCGACAGCTAGGACCCATCGTTTCAGTATCAATTTCTTGATTATATGATAATAAGCCTGGTCTGTGCAGCCTAACAAGTCAACAAAGATCAGAGGGAAACACAGGCTGAAATGTCAAAATGATTTGTGGGCTGATTGAAGTTTAATGTATGTACACATTTATCAGATGCAGAAATAATGAAACCTCAGAGGGCAGAACAAAATAGTCATAGCATTTCTGACAAAATAAAGTCAAAATTAAAATATTAATTTGTAGTGTCTAGCAGGGTGTCAAACCTATCTAGGTTATTATCACCCAACTCTGCCGTTCCCCTCAGCTCAACAGTACAAGTCATTGTAGCGTATTTCAGCGCATTGTTTTAGTTTACGGCCCACAGCTTTTACAGTTTTGGTTTAGTCTCACCATTTACATTACATTTACTCATTTAGCTGATGTTTTTTATCCAAAGCGACTTACATTTCCCCCCTGTACTTTACCTGAAAAAGCCTTTTAGCCATACTGATTAACTTACATTAGCTGGTTATTTAGCTTGTCGACGGTTTTTGCTGCTACAACCTTACTTGGTCTGGTTTAGATAGCTATAGTCATGTACAGTAACATTAACTGACATTACTGAGCTTTTTTTATGACTCTCTTGCTTGTGCTATTGTTAAACTGTGTTTTAGCATGTACCTTGTAATTGGCACTTGCCACACTGACTGTTGTTCAGTAATGACACTACATTACATTGCCTGCTTTAAAGTTAAAACTTGCTTATAGCTATAGGCTAAATGCAGGCTAATAAGCTAGCATGCTTATGCTCCAATGTGCCACGGTTATGAAAGAGAAAAAGTCATTTTGGCCAAACTTTTCTTCTTACATATTCAATGGACACTTACTCAAACTGACATTATTTATACCACCAGAGCAGCTCTGCCTCTGAAAAATATTTGTATAACTAAATTTCATACATCTTTCAAACAGTAGATGAGGCATTTTATCATATTTTATCCAACTGCACACGTTTTTCAATTGCCTGTTGTCCAGACCCAGACAGATCATGGAAATTTCCATTTTCCATTCATCGTTGAATGATGGATAGTGCACCCCTGAGAGAGGCGACCCAGCCAACGAGTGAGAGGAATACAGATTGTTCTGTGAGCAACGTGTTTACGCACTGAAAACATCCCACAAGGTTATAGTGGCACATAATCACTGACCTTCTGGGTGTCTGTGTCGGCAAAGGTCAGACCGAAGTAGTCCTTCTCCAGCAAGTTGAGGTGCTCACACACCATGTCCATCAGGGCCTGTCCTTTGGAGTGTTTCTGCCAAGACAAACATACATGACACAGCAGTGGCAAAAAGGTCAACAACAATGCAGAAGGATTCTATAATATATTTCTGAAATACCATAAGTGTATAAGAGTTTACTACTGGTATAGCTCAGTTTTATTGGGAAGAATTGTGGCTCACCAATCTCAGACCCCATTAGACATCTGTGCTTTTCAAGATTGCTTTCCTGTTCTCTGGTTCTGCGCACAATAAAACAGCTTAACCATTTGGTGTTGTGTCACGGTCCGTGTGCATCAAACACTTGCCGGTGAAAATGGACTGTGAATTACTGGGGAAAATTGGTCTTTGTACTGTAGGCAGATATTTCTTCTTTTCACATTCAAGGAGGAGTTTCAATGTTTTTTCAGGATGCACAAATTGTTCTTTTTGTTCACAGTACTGAAGGAGCTTGGGCCTGTTTTGGCAGACATCAGTATATCCTTTGTATTTAGCCTGGGTGCCATAAGTATACCAAAATAGAGAGGTGGAATTAAACAATTCAGCCTGAGAAATATGGCCAATGATGGCAATTGTTTTAACCAATCAATCATTTTTTGGATACATTTTTCCTCATTTCTAATATTGAGGGACATTTAATGCAAACACTATATTTTTAAATGAGATTATCTTATAAACTTGTGTGTGTTTGGAGTATAGATTATCTTAAAATAAAATTGGCAAATTTATTTATTTTTGCTGTCATTTTCAGCTGTAACTGTAACTTTTAAAGATATATAGTTAAACGCGGTGGTCTAACCTATCTGACATTTATACAGTGCTTATTTTATGCAGTGTGTTGCTTTGCTATAGTCTTTGACATACAAAATCTACCCAACAGCAACATCTCATCATCGGTCAGACTAGTTTTAGCTTTCCATCAAGTGTTGTTACTAAGTAGTTAAAACATGCAATTAAGTAATCATGAAAACAGTCAACATGTTGCTGCCACGTAATTGATGCAGGGGTTTCCTAACGCCAGTGTGATTGGTTCTATAGTCTCAGAATTATCATCACAACTAACATCTTTCTGGTAGAAATAATATTAACAATAGCACATATTGTACATTTATAGCAATCAAAGATGTGCTGGGCACAGACAAAATAAAAATTTATGAAAAAGAACTGAATTAACTCCATCATTACTGGTCAAATGTGTCATCAAAAGTGATACTTTTGCACTGTCCAGTATTTATAAACAAGACAAAGAGTACAGCCGTGCTAGCAGCCCTGTGAAGCTGTACTTTCAGCTAAATGCTGATGTCAGCATGATAACATGCTCACAGTGATGTTTAGCAGGTCCTGTTTACTATGTTCACCCATCTTTAGCATGCTAACATTTGCCTGTTAGTAACACTATGAACGCTGGTGGGAATGTCATTATTTTTGCAGATATTTTGTCAAAAGCAAAATTACTGGACAAATATCAATGTTGACCTGACGATCATGCTAGATGAAAACCCAGGGGAACACCTAAGCTATTGAGATTAATCTCCTGGGGACCATGAATATATGTGCTAAAATTTCATGGCAATGCTTCCTATAGCTGGCAAAACAATTCACTCAAAATCGTAAAAGTTAGCCTCATAGTGGTGCAAAATGAAAGGTCACCAAAGCATACATGCCTCCCAAATTGAAGGTCATAAGTTAAAAAAAATGGATGGCTAGCCTATATGGCAACAATAACACTAATCTTATTTTCATTTCATTTCCTAGTAGCTACTGAATATTGATTATTTTGCAACTGATTTAAATACATTTAACAAGTTGTCCTTAAAATGAGCCTTTTTGATCTTCTGATAGCTGGACATGCTAACGTATTTAAATAAATCACTTACTCCATTTGCTTGTTTAAAGTGAAATAACGCTCATATTAAAATGTTTTTATTTAAATTTGAAAAGTCTTACAGGGGCTATATGTAGTTTTTAGATTGCAACCGGGTGTGTGCTCGTGTGCGTGCTCGAACTCATGCAGCTTCACACAGCGTGCTGGAATATCAGATAAACTCCCTCTGCAACTTTACAGTGATATTTTTATCAGCTTGACATTGAACTAATCCATGCTGGTTGCATGATGGCGTTTCATTGAATTCCTTTAGCCGATGTGCTACATCAGTGTCAGCTCACCTGTCTGCTTTTCAGTAACAATTTGTTTATCTTTCACAGGAGGCTCAGCAATATGAGCACAGCTAAATGTATAGAGTGCCTAAGTACCTCGCTTCCGCCCCATGGGACCTTATTTCGGAAAAAATATGTACATCAGTCAATGGCAAGAGACTATTTATTTTGTTATCCCATTTGAATTGTGCCCTGAATTACACATATTGTCAATTTAAAAGACAATTTTGTCTGTTAGCAAAGTTGCAGTTTGTCGTAAAACAGTAGTTATATTTAGTTTTGTGTGAAAACCGTTCAATAAACTACATCTCTCATCTTGCACAATATACATGGGCAACATGTTAACCCAGTAATGCTAGCTGATCCATTGCAATGTAATCGTGATAGAGGAGAACGTTGTGAGACGTTGTGGGAGAGAAATAATTGTGTAAAAAACACCACTACAAAGAAACTTTCTTTTGCCTCCTCCATCCGGGTTTGGCACAGGCAAAGAACATTTTACATTTACATCCTGCCCTGAATGTAAGCCAGGGTGAGATCAGCCAGCGGCGGCTTCACGTCAGAGTCTCCAAATGTATCCAATAACACCAGAAAAAGTTGCTGTATTTGTCGCTAGTCAATTTAAAAAAAAGAAAGTCCTCTGAATAGTCTGAATACTCGCTAAATATAATGACAAAGTTGCTAAGTTGGCAATACTGCGGCACGGCTAGCTGACTGGCTAGGCTAGCTTGCTTTCTGAAAACACTGACGTGATTAGGCCATTTAAATGATGAAAAGACAATAAACAAATATGAAAAGTAAACTTTATCAGTCTGTAAAAAGCTAACTATGAAACGTGGCTAAAATAAAGATGAAACAGCAATCTAATCGGCGGTGAAGTTAACGCTTCTGTAGAGATGACAGGAAGTCAGCTGACGTACAAGTAGTCAATTGTAACATTACACACAAAACATTTTATACATTTGACAGTTATTTATGATGTTACGGTATTTATTTAATCCTACGACAAGGACAAAAAAATTAAGACCTTTGTAAATGAAATTCAATACTTTTAAGGCCTTATTTTGAGAATATTAAATAGAATACTTTTTAATACTTTTAAGACCCCACAGGTACCCTGGTTTAGCTGTCCAATAAGAGGAAAGCCAACTCTCAGTTTTGTCGGTTCCAAAACAATCTGATGTTTGTTTGGCCTGAAGCATATACAACTTTGTTGATGGTTCTTATCCTTACGTGGAGACTGTGTTATGCTGGGAGCCAGTCGTTTTATGGACTAAACGGACTCCATTTTGTTAGCTATGGTGTTGTTGCTGTGAGTGCAGTACAGATTCAGCGGGCGAGACACTGGGGAGTGTCTTTGCATAGAATTAGGCATACTCGCCGTCAGAGCCAAGGCAATAAAAAAGTGATTCATTTTATTTAAAAAAAAACATATAGCCCCTTTAATAATCCTGAATAATACTGAGATGATCCAGTCTATTCGCTCTCTGCTCTGGAGCAATTAAGTATTCAACTGTGCAAAAACAATGTCAGCGTTGCCACCTGAATGGATACCCAAGAATCTTGGCAATATAGAAAGACAACTGACCGGCATGAAACTCTAAATTCTACCCAAAATCGCCATGTTCTACACATTGGCCCAGGCAGGCTTGACCATGCAGATTACATCCAAGTGAGCAGAGGTACAAGAGAGGGTGGGTAAGGGTTTGGTGCCTGCTCTTCTGCGCAAAGACCACATGGAGACTCCATCATGCATCCATGACAAGAGACTTTAATTAACCCCTGAATGCGGCACCTCCTCCAGTGAGAGCACTCCCAAAGTGTGGCTTGCCTGCTCGCAATGCTGTTATTACCAACTCCTGAAAGCAAGTGGGAGGTTCAGATATAGCAGGCGTGATGTTCCACCCCAGCAATTAAAGACAGGAAACGAGAACAAGCCTAACAAGGTCTAAGGCTCTCACCAAATTAGAATTTAAAAAATATGGGTTGACAAGAGGCTGCTTTGTAGATTCTTCTCTGGCAATGATTGGCAGTGCTGCTGGGGCAGACAAATGTTCACAGAGAGTAGTTCAGACACAGAAGGTTTCATAACCATAATGCAAACTATTGTTGTAGAGTGGAAAAGGCCCAAAGGTATTTCTGAATGTTTTCACAGTGCTGAGAGAGAGGTTGGTGCAAGCATAGCATTCCTGATGTTCTTACCTCACACACAGTGGCACAAAAAAGGAGCGCTCCCCCCAACACCACAACACACACACACACACACACACACACAATGTTTCATGGACTTGTGTATAAGTGTCCTAAGTTCATAATGGCATGCTCTTCTATTTCCTCCTTGGCTGCACCTGGCTTGCAACCATGTAATAACTCTAGATTTCCTAACACCCTGTCTGTGACCTGTGCTTAACTCTTTTATTGGACAAAAGGAATATCCAGTGACCTCAGTAACTACATTAATTACATTTTCTTATATTTATCACTATAATGCTTTACAGTATAGTGTCGTCTGTTGTTCTGGAGGAGCTTTCAGAAGTCTGAGAAAATAACCCTAACAATATCAGGTTATCTCAGACTTGACTTGAGAGTTTTTAACAGAAAGGTTGTGTTAAGAATTTGGAAGGTAGATTTTGAAAAATCAGTCATTTGCTTTGGATTGGAGGTTCTAACAAAAGACAGCGTCGAGTTGTCTTCATCTGAAATTTAGGATCCAGTGTTTTTAAAACTTGGGACTGTGCCGCTTCGATTTTGACCATACATTTTGAATCAGTCTATGACTCTCCCATCTTAGTGTAAGTGCAATGGTATATCGCTGGAATGCTCCTTAAAAAGCCTGCAGCAGACTAGCTTAGTTTAGCATAAAGACGGGAAAAAGGGGAAACAGCTGGCTGGCTTTTTCCAGAGGTTCCAAAATCTTACTACCAGCGGCTCTAAAGATCACCAATTAGCATGTTGGATCTTGTTTGTAGAAAAACCAAAGTGTAAAAGCACTAAGTTGTGTTTTTTATGGGAGGATTATGTATCAGACATTTACTTGGCTGGGAGGGAGCAGTGACTTCCTGGTGTCTGCGCTGCTTTCCCGGGCAACCTCCCAGAAATGACAAGACTCCAAGAAGTCAAACTGTTCCTTTAAAACAAGCATTACTTTTGTTGGCATGCAATGTCTTGTGGCCGTGCAGATAATGACAGCACAAGTAGCATGATGTTGTTACTATATAACACCTTAAAACGTCTGGCTTCGAAGCAGCACAGTCCCGACTTTTAAAAGGAGAGGGTTGATATAGATTTCATCAACCCTCTCCTAACCATAAATGCAACCAAATGTTAACCATTAAGATGGCAGTTAAGAAAATGAATAATAATTCTTCAATCACTTTCACATCACGTTTTGCAAGCCACTGACAAAAACTTTTCCTACTGATAAGGGCGCCAGTACCCAGTACTCAACATGTATAGTGCGTCTCCAGTCCCAGTCCATGCTGGACAGAAGTCTTGCTGAAGAAATGTAGAGGCAGGTTACTGGACTGTGACACAGGCTGGCTGTCACCAACTGGCCCAGATAAAAGACTGATTTAACTCTCATCTCAGGTACAGAGGCAGTGGAGTGCCAGACAGATGCATCATCAAAGTCATCTCCACAGTCAAGTACATGGATATTAATTCTTTGCACCACAATCCTGCAAAAGATATTTTGCCAGAAGTGTATGCATCTGCTAGGTATAAAAAGCTCCAAAATCTCTATGTATGCAGATTCCTTTCCCAGCGAGTGGGAAATGTCCTATTTCACACTGTTGGAGTAATAACAAAAGAGACATCCAGACTGGAGTGCATCCAGAAAAGAATTCACAGGGCTTTTCAATTTATTAAAAATGAAAAAACAAATGAAAAAAGCACATGTACTAGTATTCACAGCCTTTGCTCAATATTTTGTTGAAGCATCTTTGGCACCAATTACAGCCTCAAGTCTTTTTGAGTATGATGCTACAAGCTTGGCACAACTATGTTTGGGAAGTTTCTTCCAAAAAACTACTTTGCAGGACCTCTCAAGCTGCATCTGGTTGGATAGGAAACATAGTTGGCACAGCCATTTTCAGATCTCTCCAGAGATGTTCAATCAGGTTCAAGTCTGCGCTCTGTCTGGGCCGCTCAAGGACATTCACAGAGTTGTCCTGTAACCACTCCTTTGTTATCTTAGCTGTGTGCTTAGGGTCATTGTCCTGTTGGAAGATGAACCTTCACGCCAGTCTGACGTCCAGAGCGCTCTGGAGCAGGTTTTCATCAAGGATGTCTCTGCACATTGCTGCATTCATCTTTCCCTGAATCTTGACTAGTCTACCAGTTCCTGTCGCTGAAAAACATCCCCACAGCATGATGCTGCCTCCACCATGCTTCACTGTAGGGATGGTATTGGCCAGGTGATGAGCGGTGCCTGGTTTCATCCAGACACGACTCTTGCCAATCATGCCAAAGAGTTTAATGTTCGTTTCATTAGACCAGTGGATTTTGTATCTCGTGGTCTGAGAGTCCTTCAGGTGCATATTGGCAAACTCCAAGCGGGCTGTCATGCCTTTTACTGAGGAGTGGCTTCTGTCTGGCCACAGGCCTGATTGGTGGAGTGCTGCAGATATGGTTGTTCTTCTGGAAGGTTCTGTCATGGCAAAGACTGTGTATACTTGTGTACATGTGCATTTTTTGTTTTGAATTTTTAATGAATTAGCAAATAATTCACACAAACTTCTTTCACGTTTAAGGAAAATAATGAATTTCATCCATTTTGGAATAAGGTTGTAACATATCAAAATGTGGAAAAAGCGAAGCGTTGTGAATACTTTCCAGATACACTGTCTCTTGTGTTGAATGAAGACTTTCATGCTGCACTATTTTTTGTGCCACTGTGTGTATTACAGAATAGTGTAACATTGCTCTGGCTTTGGCCCCCTGGTGAGCTCTCAGCATGGCACCTTTTCTGCTATTCTCTCTAGTTGTTTTATCCGCTCCGGGCAGCACATTACAACAAAGACAACTGCCCACAGAGAAAATTAAAAACTAAGCAAAGAAAGAATGTTGCTTTTCAACAGTTTGTTCAAAGCGTGTTAAGCCTAATTCCAGAAAAGGTGTGACCACATATTGTTTTCCATCATGCATACCTCAATTTCTGCTTCAATTTCAGAGGTGTCCAGCAGAGTCACTTTGAAGGGGACGGTTTTATGTCGTTTGGAGCCTTTCTGGGGAGATCTGAGGTTCTTGTTTGGGGACGTCTTCTCAGACATGTCGTCTGTTTCTCTGTGTTCATCCAGATGCTTGGAGTTCTGTTCCTTAACAAATAAAAACAAAAAAGGCAGTTAAATGACATAGTTTTACATGACATCTGTCATCCCTGGTACCTGTGGATATTTGAAAGTCTGCTAATTCAAATACTCAAAACCACAAGAGTCTGATGTAGATATACTAGAAACTGCACTGACTCAGAGTCATTAGACTAATCACGGAATTACCAGACAAAACAGAAATCAGAAATAAAATATAAATCACAGGAGTCATTAGTGTTTCAATGCCTGTATATAGACTTAAAGATTTTACTTAATGATGTGAGGAACTGTGAAGATTTTAAATTACATTTAACAAAAATAATATAATATACCTTAAAATGTTGTCCTAACAACATCAGATTAAATTACTAAATAGCGTAGATCAGGTTAGCATATTAAACTGCATGAATACTACTAATGCTGAAACACACAAAATCATGGGCATGTCTGTCACATAATGCACTACTTCTCCCGGATCTTGGCTTCCTCAGAAAAGTTTTAGCAAACTACTGGCTTTTTTTCTGTTTGTGTGTCAGCAGCAGGTTCCTCCTGGGTCCTCCCTTTTCATTTAGATGGCGACGGATAGTGCGAGCTGACACTGTTGTACCCCGCGTCTGCAGGTCAGCCTGAATTTTATTGGAAGTTGATCATGTCCTTTATCCATTATTCGGACAATCCTTCATTGTAATCTTTCATTAATTTTGCTGTTGGGTCCCCTACCAGGGAAATTAGTTACAGTGCCATGGGCTGTAAACTTCTTCACAATGTCGCAATGCGAACAGAAGAAATAAACATGAGAATACTAGGACATTTGTATTTGTGGCAATTTTCTGGGAGAAGTAGTGCATTATGTGACAGACATGTGGGGGTGCCCATATCAATGACTGTAGATATATACATTTAACAAAGTCAGACTTATATTTACAAAGTTTTAACAGATAAGTTTAATGTATCGTTTGGCCCCCTCAAAGTGTTATTTTTGGCAGCTGTGTTACAGCTTGTGATGCTACAGTGACTTCCTGTTTTAGTATTTCTCACATTTCTCACCTGGTTCACTACTGGGACTTTTACCTTTTAATCTATTTACAAATAGCTGGTGCAACCCACCTAAGTGGCACTTAGAATCGCATTCCAGGTCCTTACTGTTACACTAAAACATACCATTTCCTGTCTTTTTACTTTACACAACCACTGAGAAGTCTGTGGCTTCAGTAATCCATAAGTGCAATTATGGCTGTGCTGACCTGTTTGGCCATCTTGCTGTCCGAAGCCGAGTCCTGCATGCCTGCCGCTCCCTGTTGTCCGAGAGGAGTCCTATGCCGCTCTCTTACTTGTGACTCAAGGTCTGATCCTTCAGCAATATAACACCAACCTGAGAAGAAACAACACAGCAAATATTTTCAAATAGTGTCTTAACCGAGTAGAGCCTTCACTTCAAAATGCCATGTCAAAAGTGTTAATGCATGCTGTCTTTCAGAACCAAAATGCCATAGCGGATATGACAGCGGCAGCTGCAGCTGGAGACTGTGGAAAATTCCAAAGACAATGCATTTACCCAAAACAATAACGCCACTAGCGCCAGGATCACACCTTCATTACAAATTCTGAAAGCTGCAGATTTTTGATACAATACGATTTCCACAGACATAATTCACCTTGCCGTGAAGGACATTTACTTTAATTATAAAATCCCCCACTGAGCCAGATAATGATCATCTATTTAAGCAAGACAAGCTCCAGATCACGATTACCAAAAAAAAATGAATTAGTGAATTAGGCCATGAGCACTACCGTCTGTTCTCATGACTATCAACTGCGCATTCCTTCACTCACAAAGGTGCTAAACCAAAAAAACTGAACTATCACTCATCCATGAGTGGGTATGAATGTTTGTAACGCTCCACGTTGCAATGGACTATGTAACTGCCTAAAATGGTACAGTAGTATGCAGGTTAGCATCATAGTGTTGTCTTTAATTTGTCTAATAAAAATCATATTCAGGCACAAGACAAAGACGCACACAGTATAATGTTACAATACAGAGGAGCTAAAGCTTGTATATATGTTCTGTGTGTGTAGCATAAAAGGGTCTACAACTTTAATTAAGGGGGTGGTGATGGCGCAATGGATAAGAAACATGCCTTTGGTGTGAGAGACACAGGTTCAATTCCCCACTGTGACTCATCTACCAATGTGTCCCTGAGCAAGACACTTAACCCCAAGTTGCTCCAGAGGCGTGCGACCTCTGACATGAATAGCAATTGTAAGACGCTTTGGATGAAAGCGTCAGCTAAATGTAGATGTAATTTTATTGTGCAGCCATGTGTTGTAGAATGACAAATAAATGTAACTTGAACATTGAGGTACTGAGGTCAGTTAAGAGAGGTGGGAATTGTGTCTTAACCACTTGGAAGATACAGTTTGTTAAAGCAATAGTTGTACTACATTATAGGTCGTGGGTTCGAGCCCCGGTCGTCCCGGCCTTTCTGGGTGGAGTGAGTGTGTCTGGTTGTTCGTCTATGTGTGGCCCTGCGATGGACTGGCGACCTGTCCAGGGTGTACCCCGCCTTTCGCCCGATGTCCGCTGGGATTGGCTCCAGCCCCCCGTGACCCTGTACGCAGGATAAGAGGTTGACGATGGATGGATGGATGGATGGATGAGAACCACTCAAAATCTGGCCTGTAAATAAGAGGCTACAGCCCCCTTGTGAGGAAGTCCAAAATCAAGCCCATTGTGGTATTCAAGCCCAGAGTGCTAGGTGAGCTAATCAGCTTCATGGGGAGATTGCGTGAATGCTGAGCTGAAATCCACAAACAGCATTCTGATGTAGGTGATTTTTTTTTTTCCAAGGTGTTTGAAGACTGTGTGGAGCGCAGTGGAGATGGTGCCCTCTGTGGATCTTTTGGTTCTGAATGCAAACTTGTGACGGTCCAGTGCTGGCTGGGATGTTGTTCTTCGTGTGCTGGAGAACCAGCTTCTCAAAGCAACGATGAATGAGAAATGATGAGAAATTAAATGTAAATAAAAACAAAGCCTTTGCTCTGTGATTTTGAAGACACAAAAACTTGACATTCACTGGGAATGATACGGATGGTTTCGAAGAGGTCCTGCTGTTAAACTCCAGGGTGATATTGTCCAATTTTGGCCACTTGTTCAAGTAAGAAAGAAAAAGAAGCTACCGATCAACCCCCAAAATACATGTTACCCTGTGGATAGATAGTTTTGTGATCCAGTGTGGATTTCTTTGTAACCACTCAGGGGATTCCCCACCAGATGCCCCATGTGCAGCAAATCACATCAACCTAATGCATCTGGGGGTTGTGGGCAATCATGGCTGACGAGTGAGGCAGGAACACAACTGCTCCACACCAGTTCAGAGAAGAGACAATGTCCCTCCAAAACAGGGAAGGTCTTAGCATATTGCATGTGGTTGAAGGAATGTGCCGTCCTCCTCTGCTGTGCTATGACAAACGTCTCCTTACTTACAATATCAGTGATTTGATAAAAATGGATTCCTGTCCTTGGGGACCAAAGTGAAAAGTGGATTGGTATGTCCACTCAGGGCCTCATTTGACTCTCGCTGTCTGATCCAGATGTGCACTGAGCTATAAGTTGCTTAGTCAATTTTCCCCTCACTCACTGAATCGTGGATATGACTGCCAAGTTAAATCCCTGGCTGGAGAGGAAAAACTCTGTCGGGTATGGTGTTCTGATGGCGAAGGAAGCAAATAGTGAGCGCCACCATGTCTTTCTGTCATCGTGTTCGCCTCCCAGTCTGATTCAGTCAAGTTGAAAATAACAAGCGTCTCCCCTGTGTACGTTGCAGGTGCACACTTTCTCATTCGGTCCAAGTCAAACAGGAGCTGCCATCCCCCCTCACTTTAACATCCACCTGGGCGACATGACACAACGCATTCATCTACAGCCGTCTGTGTAAATAAACCTGTCTGAGCTGCGTTGTGTTCACAGCAACAAATAATCTGAAAACAGCTCCAGTCCGACCATTTCTGATCTCCACTGTGGACATTTTTCACTTCTGTTCTGAACACATTACTGAGCACATAGCCAACCACGACAAGTTTTCTAATCATACCCAAATTGATAGTTACTGTTGCTTTTAAGGGGTCATTAGAAATTTGTATGAAACATGTCAGCCGATAATGAAAAAACCCTTCAAGGACACATGCACACAAAATTGAGAATACAAATCCCATAATCCAAAGTTAGTTTGTGGTAAATGGGGTCTCTTATTGAGACATCTCCTCATGTAATCAGATTAATTGCCAAATGAATGCAGATTGATGTCATAGAGCGAGGCAGCACGGCCCTGCGAATGCTTTCATTTCCTGCAACAGACCATTACCCACAATCGCCTCTGTCAGCCGAGCGACCTCTGCAGAAAGCCCCTAACAGTGCAGGAATATACTGCCTGTTTCCTTTGTTGCACATTGAGGGCAGTTCACTGACAATGTCTGTCTTTGATATCAGTAAGTAATAATGACTCATCACAGAGAAAAGCACATTGTTTCCTTAGAGGGTTAAGTAATGCCACACTTCTCTAACAAGTGTAGCCTTTTCCCTTGTCTCTCTTCAATCTCTCTTCATTTTCATCAGAGGTAAGCTTTAATCTGAGCAAGGCAAGTGGAGAGAGAATGAGACAGGGAGCGCGCATGTCTGTGGAAGAGCACTGGCTCAGCTCCTAGATGCAGTTGCCATGGTAACAGCATAGAGTACTCCTCTTCTTTTTTTCCCCCCCCACTCCCGATCGTCTCTCACCTCAGAGGAGTGACAGAAACAGAAAGATAAAACACAACAAGGAGGGAAGATGAGAGGCCAAAAGATGAGGCGGCCCAGAAAGACAGAGGGATCAAGGATAAACTGAAGAGATAAGAAGTGACAAGAGGGAGGAAATAAGCTGATGTGGCATCGCGACTCACAGGAAATGTCAAACAGCCTCCCCTCTGGTTAGCGGTGGAGGAGCTGCACACAGCTGCACACGAGGGCGGATGGGGAGTTTGAAGCAGAGACGCAGGCCGGTGTTGCTAACCTCCCTCCGCCGTCCACCAGCAAACATAATCTGCTCCTCATCTGAGCCCCTTTGAAAGACAGTCCAAAGTGCACCTCCTGAGTGCTTTCACTGTGAGGAGTATTCAGGCATTGCTATGAGGTCACAGTCATGTTAGCAGTGTCAGGTGGAGCAGAAGCTCTCTGGACAACTGCTTTCAAATTATGTTAGGGGAAATGTGGTCAGAGCAAAACTGCATTATTGATGAGTAAAAGTAGAAAGAATTTACAGTATTCCTGTTGGATGGTAAAGTGATGCCTCGGATTCCAGACACACAGAGCTTTACTCCTGTCCTGCTTTGGGTTTCAAATCAAAATGCAAAGTGGAAGAAGTTATTTGAATTGTCCGGAGGTAAAACTCCTGTTTATTTTCTACAAACACAATGTTATGTGACTAATAGGGCTTGGATGGATTTGAAATGTCTGCTTCAATCATCAGTCTAAAGATGAGCCACTTCATTAATAAAATACCTGGTTGTTTTTCATAAAGTGGTATAAAATCTGCCCACTAAGCTTCTAATCCTATTGTGTGCACTGCCATCTGTAAACTTAAGCTAACGGTTGCTCTTTGTAGAAACCTGATTATTAATTCAACTTGTATCAGTTCAGTTTTAGATTCTTGCTACATTTTTAATTTGTTCCAACTCTTATATGTGTCTGAGATGTGAGTAGCTTTCATCAGTTCATCCAGTAGTAACAATCTCAACTTTGAGGTGGCGCTAGAGGAAAAGTCAGGGGGTCACAATGGGACATTTTCAGTGGGAAAAATACTTGGCCTCACATGTGTTTTTGCATGAAGCATTTCTTTCAAAAAAAAAGTTAAAATGTGATACTGGAGTTTTCTGTCCATATAAGTTAAGTGGGCATCTGTTAGGCAGTAAAATGTGAACACCTCAACTCCGGCTCTTCCCCCTAGAAAGCAGCGGTGCTTCTGTCTGGTGTTTCTGTGCCCCACTCATCCACGGCACACTGCAATATGTCAGTGACAGTTCATGCAGTCACTCAGAAAGAAGCATGATAGGATCAAGGACACTGCTCTCATTCAACAACATCACACATACGGCCTGTCATACACCCTGACAACATCAGTGTAACACTGATGGAAGTCGCTCAGGCATTGCCTAGAGCACTGTTTTACAACGCACCGTGCGTTAAGAGATTTCCACTCTTGTGGTATTCTCTTCCTAAGACAACGATGCAGCCCAAACACCTCTTCTGGCTGGAGTGCCCCCTCATTACTCTGCTGTTTCCTGGGTGAGTGCTGGCAATAGATGATGATAGACAAGGCCTGAGTGGAAAGACTGAAG